ATCTTCATCTTCATCTTCATCTTCATCTTCATCTTCATCTTCATCTTCATCTTCATCTTCATCTTCATCTTCATCTTCATCTTCATCTTCATCTTCATCTTCATCTTCATCTTCATCTTCATCTTCATCTTCATCTTCATCTTCATCTTCATCTTCATCTTCATCTTCATCTTCATCTTCATCCTCATCTTCATCTTCATCTTCATCTTTATCTTTTCCTTTATCCTTATCTATATCTTCATTCTTTTCTTTATTTACATATTTACATATTCACCCCACCATTGTTATTAGTTTAGGTATTTAAATCTTCCTTCCTCTTTGTCTATGTACTAAGGTTTCTTTACTTTGATTTTAATCTTTGCTTTTATCCCTTTCTTCTTCTACATACTCAACTTTACCTGCTTCCTTGCATGAATCTTAATCTACATATATGCTAATACTGCTGCTTAGCACATTTCTTTAATTCAGTATCAATATTAAAAGGTACATTTGGGAGGCATTTCCGCGCCAACCGTATACATGTAGGGCTTTAGTATTGGTGTCACTTTTGAACTGATTTTTCCGCTTTATGTTAAACTAATATGAAATTTGAAAAATTGTCTGCACATCAGCAAAATGCCTTTCTAATGATATATAATAAAAAATAATAACTTAGGGCCGTTTTCTCAAGTAACCTGTAACTTTAAAGCTCACTTTATATTTAAAGGTTGCATTAAAACTTATGATTGTGTGTAAAGTAAAGCATTTTTTTATCGATTTTATATTGCTTTACAACAAAGAAACATGCATACGTGAAAAATCAATAATAGAAATGCTAACTTTAGACATAGCTTTATTTTTAATCCAACCTTTAAATATAAAGTGAGCTTTAAAGTTAAAGGTTACTTCAGAAAACGGCACTTAGAGGTATAGTTTAGCCGTAAAAGATGTGTAAAGATTTAACGAAAGTATATCACTCGTCATACCAAGAGCGTGAGTTTATAGACATTAGGGTGCCCGTCGAAAATACTTTTTTTCAAACCCTACCCCCTAATTTTATTCGTTTTGATGCGAAATATTATAAATTTTGAATAAATATTGATGAATTACTTAGCCACACTGCTCAAGAAATCTGAAAGTCCGTTACATACACAATATAAATTCAGGGCCGTATTTAACCCTAGAATACTAATGTTCGCCTGTGAGGCGGAACGAATTCGGTTTCCGCGCGATATTTCAGGAACGCTTTTAATGATCAAAGTAAACGTTCGCGCCAACTCAGCTTAGCGCTGTACGAGGCTGTTAGCAAACGCACATTATACAGTGGCCTTGCGCGGCTGAGTTCCACGCCCTCTTGACGCCTGACAGGCGAACGTTAGTAGTAAAGGTAATTTTGTTTGCTGTACTTATTTCAGTTTTTAACATGTTTGTTGGCTATTTTCTCTTTTGAACTTAATTTTTTTTTTTTACTTTTCGAGAGGGGTTCCTATGAAGAACAAGTTCTAAAATGGTTGGAAGAAATCTCGTTGAATGGGACCGATAGTGAGAACAATTTGGAAGAAGATTTCAGTGAATGCCCCTTATGAATAAAAACTAAGCAGTTGCTTTTTCTTAAGATTTCGAACCTTTTGCTTGATTTATTCAAATAACGTAAAGGATCTGAAATTTTAAGAAAAAAGCCTTGCTTAGTGTTTATTCATAAGGCCCAATGTGATACAAAAAAGTCGATTTCATTTTTAAGTACAGGTCACAATAGAAAAGATAAACAACTAATTCCTTTTAAGTGTGAAAGTAAATACGAATAACTTTAAGATAATTTATGGATTGTTTGAGTGCGTTCGCTTTAAAATGTTTTTTTTTTAATTTTTTAAAATTACCCCTTTCAAAAATACACATAAATATGTGTTATTTTTAATACGAATTATTTTTATTAATATTAAAAAAATTATTAAATTATTTTATTTTTTTACTTTAAAAACATATGAAATATGTTTAAGCCCATTTTTTAAACAAATTTAAGGGTTTAGAAAGACAGAATTTGTACTTTTTTTCAAAGTAGCCTCACAGGCGAACGTCAGTATTAAAGGAATAAAAAATGAGGTTAGTATTCTAGGGTTAAGAAAAGTCGCCTAACTTCGACAATTTTTATGCGATTGCAATAAATGAGCTATCAGTTTATTTATAAATAGATTTAATTTTAGATAGTACTACATATTTTGAAATTGTTGAAATTATCGATGGCCAAAATTTTAAAAATTAAGAGAAATATGTTTTATTTTTTTTTATTTTACCAGATAAAAATCCCAACAAGCCAAGTCCGACAATGAATTTGTATATACCATTTTAAAGACCTATATATCCTCTTCTCAGATCATATTCGATTTTTGAAATCGAATCAAAAATAGTCACTCAAAAACTCATAAATCTACAAAATCGTATTTTCTGGCCTAAATCGACAAGTAGCGATCTCTAAATGACGTTTAAAAAGTCTATAAAAATAGGAAATAATATTTCTCATAAAAACATATAAAATTATGGGGTAGGGTCTTGAAATTTCCAAAAAAAAGCATTTTCGATGGGCACCCTATTAGACATATTTCTTAAATACTCTGAATCAAAGAGCTTACAGGCTAACAGGCTGCAGATGTACATACGTAGATAGAGAGAGAGCCTGTGGCTATCAGATAATGGAGATTTACTTTGACCACAACTTCAAGTTTCACTTCCCGAAAATGAAACCGTTCACAGCAACAAGGAGATTCAAATCTGCACAAATGAATCATCTTCTCTCAGCAACGTTCATTGACGGAAGCTCACAGACTTTTAGGCTATTCCTATCTTCATCTATCATGACGGCATAGTTGGTAAGCATAGAGGATTTTTCCCCTCAAAACTCACCTTGGTTGTACATAGATGGATCAAGGCTTTTGACTAGAAAATTCGAGGTGTGTTGAGGAATGGCGAAGATTATTACAAGCTCTTAGACAACTCATTGTTATCTCGACTTCATTCCGGGACAGCGTGGTGTTTCGAGAAATGGAGAAGCAAGCGAGTACTTGAGAAAAACGTCTGATGCTAAAATTTGACAGAGCCTTATTGGGTACGATTCCTGTAGAAGCTTCAAGTACGTGGAAGAGGTAGAAGCTAATAAGAATTTCCTTTCTTCGAGGAATCGTACGGGCAAGATTTTTTTCACGATATGCAGGAATAAATGAATTTGACGGCTGCAAAATTAGGTTCTGTTGATTCCGAATGAAGTTACGACAAGATCAGCCGCTCGTTTAATAAAGCGCCTGCTTTTATACCACAACATCTTAAACAGAACATTGTATGGCCATTTTCTCCATTTTCGATATTTATATTGAAAAAATAATTCAGTAAATCAATAAAAAGTGAAACTCCTCGTTCGTGAAGATTCACCTACCTTTACGGCAAATCTTCTTAATGCGCTTCTTTGCTTGAGCTTTAAAATATGTGGGAAGTGAAAATAAGGTAGCTTTGTGTTCGTAAGCAAAATAAATATAACACAATTTGTAGTATAATTGGTTTTCAAACCGATATAGCAGAATGAGTGGGTAGGTATGTATATAACAATCAGTCAAAGGGTTTCGGTTTATATTCGCGTGAAATAAATAAAAAACGAGAGTCAATCTCTCGGAAAATAAATTTTGCCATAAAAATCAGCCATGTTGCAAGCCGGATCTATATTTTGATGATATTTACATATATACTCATATATCGTGAGTCTTTTTTAACAAGCAATACTTATCTTATTTCAGATTCCTGAGTTGTTGCGTCGATATCCACCAACGGATCATACCGACTTTCCACTTCCCCTTGACATGGTATACTTTTGCCAACCCGAGGGTTGCACTAGTGTAGGACCCCGCCGAACTGGGTCCGCCATTCGCGATATGACATCCTTTGTATTTGCGCTCACTGACAAGGATTCGGGAAAGACCCGATATGGCATCTGTGTAAATTTCTACCGGCCCATAGAACGGCATTCAGCTAATGCAGAACGAGGCGCCTATAGTGCAAACCATGGCGCTGTTGGACTGGCACAAAGCAAACGAGGGCGACACAGCTCCGCCTTTCGACGTGAGTCCTGGCGAAAGAGCATGGAACGCAGCTCGGATTCTGCATTTAGTAGGCAAGTTGATTCTATAGTCTCTCACTCTCAAACTCATCCCAGCACAAGCAAACACAGTTTTGACAACAGCAACAGCAAAGCAAACCAATCTAATCAATCAAATTCGTTAATCATTAACTCACATGATGCTAAACGACGTATTTTTTGTAATAGTTACGGCCTCTTAACTTCTTCTAGCGACTACAGAAGTAACGTCGCTCCTAGTGATTCGGATCGTGAAATGACATCACGTCGTGATTCGGATCCACCGAATCACCACCATTCATCGTCTTATGGTCACACACAACAACAGCAACATAATCTACAACAGCAGGTGCCAAAGCTGGGTTTAATGGCACCGTCTGCGGACTCCGAGTCGGGCGGTAGCCATTCGCCATCGCCACGCGCCTCACGAAAACGCACGAAGCTGCGAAATCAGTCGCTAACTTCGCTCTGTATCATCTCACATCACCCATTTTTTTCAACGTTTCGCGAGTGTTTATTTATACTAAAGAAGCTGATCGACGCCTGCAACGAGTCCTCGTCGCCAAAGCGTTTGGGTGCCTCGCAAAAGCTAAATCGTGACAATGTGTGGACGGTGCTCACGGGACATGCCACAGAGGCTACCTCATCCATCGTGTTGCACGATGTGCGCGAGATCGAAACATGGATCTTGCGGCTGTTGTCCACACCAGTACCTGTACCTGGTTCCACGCGCGTTGAGGTATTATTCTGTATTCAAGCACTCAATGACATTATTAGTACAATGTGTGTTCCTATTTCTCTTTCTCTCTTGCAGGTTGAGGTGTTGTCGCCTACAGTACACGAACCTCTGCTCTTTGCGCTGCCAGATCACACGCGTTTCTCGCTCGTCGACTTCCCATTACACTTGCCGCTTGAGTTGTTAGGCGTAGAGACGTGTCTTAAAGTCTGGACGCTGATAATGTTGGAAAATAAAGTACTATTTCAGTCACGCGATTATAATGCGCTCTCCATGTCGGTAATGGCGTTCGTCACGATGCTCTATCCATTGGAGTATATGTTCCCCGTGATACCGCTACTGCCGACATGTTTGAGTTGCGCCGAACAACTGTTGCTGGCACCGACACCTTTCGTGATCGGTGTGCCAGCAACATTCCTAATGTACAAGAAAAACTTTCGGTAAGTGGTTGGCTGTTGGATAACCGTAATGTTTAATATTGACATTTGAACAAATAGGTTGCCGGATGATATCTGGGTGGTGGATTTGGACTCAACAAAATTGACACCGCCTACAGGAGGCTATGACGAAATTCCACCATTGCCAGAACCTGAGGGCACCATACTCAAGAATCACTTGAAACAAGTAAGTGCATTGAAGATAACGCAAAGTGGGGGTAGCAGACCGATAAATTTAGTTACTTTTACGAACCATTGGATATTTTCTAAATATTTTTGAATAATACTTTTAATGACACAATAACTGAAAGGAAATTTAAATGATTAAGTAAAAAATATACTTATTAAGCTTAAGCGCTTGTATAATATATCTTTATTCGGGTATAATTAAAATGCAATTTTTTAATTGTTTACTTTTTTAATTGAACATGCATATGTATAAAATTCATAACCTAAAATTTTTATTGACTCATTATTTTAGTGGTTTAAATATTCGATTTAATTGTTTTCCTTTTACAAAAATATTTTTATTCATCAAATTTCATGAAAAATTTTTGCTCATCAAATTTATTTTTTAAGTCAATTTCATATTCAACTTCAACGCTTATTCTTAAAGCTTTGCAATTTTTAAACGCGCTTGGAACTTTCAAAGTACTCCATATGCATACGAATTTTGCTTCTAGACTTTTGCTGCTTATGCTCTCTTCCCATTTCGCCAAGCTACTACCTACTTACTATTACTAACTACTATCTCATTCACTACATAACTGCATGTACAATTACAACGTTGACTATTCTCATACAAACTCTTTTCTTTTCGAAATTTCATTACATGAACACAGGCAATGCAACTTATGGATGAAGCTGGACTTGGTGTAAATATCTTTTATTTGTCACTAACACTTACAAAAAAAAAAGAACAATTCATTTACTAACCCATTTTTCAGTTGGCATGAGTTTTCACCTAGTTAAAATACATATATGCTTACTTTTTCGTTGTTTAAAAAAATTTAGTCCGTAGTTATACTTGAACGACTTAATTCACGTTTAATTCACGTACTTTATGCCAGACAAAACAATAAAAAGAGATTTAAAGTCTTTTGTTTGCATTAGACGTTCATTGAATTAACTTTTTTTTAACAATTTAACTTCATTTTCATGTTCATTTAGATTTTTTTCTTAAAAAACACATGTTATGTTATGTTCTTATAACCACAGGTCTATATTTAATAGATGTATACTTTATCACTGATACTTTATACACATATGTATGTGTGTGGGCTGCACGTAGCAAAAATTTCATAATTATTTTTTCTTTATTAGGCTTTGAGAGAGATTATAAGATGAGATTTTATTCCACAAGAGGCTGTAGAGGCGAAGAGACTTATTCAAATTGTGACAAGTAAGAACAGAAACTCTCTTCGGTAGTTAGTGAACGAGGCCGTTTGGTGAACAAGCGGCAAAACTAGGTTATACTAGGTTAGGATGGGTGCCCCTATAGGTGAAGTCGTACCCAGACTAATAAACTAACTGCTTTTTATATTAATATAGGGAAAGGATGGTGACGTCTTTTAGACGTCAAAACGCTCCGTTATAACAACGAAACTCTAAAAGCAGCTGATCTATATTCCCCAAAGCTTCTCGAGGTGAGGAACCTTAAACCCGTGAAAGCTGGACAAATGAAATCCAGATATTGAGATGATTCCACGTCACCAGCAATGAGACATGTGTCTTGCCCTTGACCGGTTTTATGAACTCTCTTAACCCGTGGCCATAAAGATTTATCCAACCTCCAATACAATATTTTCACCCTGCGTTCACTGAGATGACTAAAAGCCCATCTGTTCAGAAGAAAACCACACGTAGCCAGTGGATCCCAATTCTCAAGAGCGCCCTCATTGACCATGCGGATTTCCGTGACATTCCTGTGTTCTGAAAGCCAATTTAGCTTGATAGGGAAGAAACTTAATGGTATAGAGAAAGAATTCAGCCACCCGCCCCTCCCTGCCTTTTCTAACGTACCATGAATCAGCTTAGGCCACTGACTGTCGCTTAGCGATCAGAATTTGTGTTAACCATAAAGCTACATGACTGTCTCCACATCAAATAACATGAAACCATGTTGTGATCGGAGAAACGCACGCCTCAAGTAAGTAAACTCCGAGTTTCAAACATAGTCTCGGCCAAGATATGTATCCGCCTGTGTGCAGCAAAAAAATGTGCATCCAATAATACAAGAAAAGCTCTACGTTGAAAAGCTACAATCACAACAGACGGTTAATTTATTCACCACTCGACTCTATCACCTGCTCTCAGAGAGCACTCTTCAACAATCCGACATACGTGGTTCCATTTCCCGATCATGAAGTACCGCCGCCGAAGAAGTAGTTGGATTTCAGCGAGAGCCACTGGTACTATGAGGGATGTTACGCAGGAACAGAGAAAAAGTGTCTGCCTAAAGAGCCATGCTTCGATCAGGCGCAACGCGAGCTATGCGGCACCGTTATGGGGAGCTAGGGATGGATGCGAGACGTACCTGCTGTAATAAGAAGGGAGAAGCCGGAATACACCAGTGCGAAGAGCTTGAAATGCTGGCCGACAGCACAAACTCCATAAAAGAGCTTCTCAGAGAAGACTCGTGTATATTGTACCCAACTTCTGCAGATACTAATGAGGGCGTCCGATGCCATGGGTTTGCGGACGACATAGTGATCATCGCTAGAGGGAAGTTCGCAAGTACTCTCTGCGACATCGTCCAAAGAGGACTCAACCTTGCAAAAAGGTGGTGTGCAGACGTAGGTTTAAATATGAACCCTTCTAAAACAGCTATGGTCCCCTTCACCAAGAAACGAAATCTCCAGGGGACGAGGAGCTTGACCTTAGGTGGGGTCGTAATCAATGTCGCCACAGAGGTAAAGTGTCTGGGGCTTGCCCTGGACTCCAAGCTTCTGTGGAGCGCTCATGATGATGCGGTCACCTCTAAGGCTACGAAAGCGATGATGGCGTGTAAAAGTCTAACGGGAAACCCTGGGGTGCACTCCGAGGATCCTCAGATGGATGTGCACCGTGATAGTGAGACCGATAATGACATATGGTACGGTGGCTTGGGGTTCCAGGACTACCCTGGGAACGATGAGGTAGACCCTCTCTAAGATTCAACCTCTGTCATGTGTTTTCATCACGTGAGCAATGCACATATGTCTGACGGCAGTGCTGAAGGTAATGCTGGAACTCGAGCCACTGCATCTCTCAGTAGAGCAGGCTGCAAAGCGGACTCTTCTTAACTTTGCGAGAGAGGGATTCGGCGAAGGCAAGGTGTTTTTTTCCCTTTAGTCTTCAACACGCTACCCGCGTATTCAGAAAATATATTATTTATAATGTTTTTTTTACAATGTTCTTTTACAGATATAAAGCTGGTTTTATCATCTAGAAAGAGCGATAAGCTAGGTACCTACCTCCCCCTAGCTTTGTGTTGCCCAGGGTCGACATTAACAGAGAGGTGGTCTTGAAGAGAAACTTCAGGACCTACACTTATAAAAAGACGACTTCAATCCCCTGCGACCCCGATAGGACCTAAGCCTTTCCGTGCAGTGAGACCCACCACTACTAAGGAAATGCTCGGAAAGGAAAATACCAAACTGAGGGAACTGCAACTGGCTTAACACCGTGGGTCTCCATTACACCTTCTTATAGAGTGTGTGGCCGTTGCACGCAGGAGGGATAGGAGAATAGAGCGCCTGTGGACAAGAGAGGAGCTCATACAATCAATATCCCCGGGGTCTATTATGAAATTTATAGTCTCTAGGGCTAGTCGAGGTGTTGTGATGAGCTAAGGGGTGTATTTTACACCTACCGGTCGCAGTGCTGTACCTAACTATCTATCTATCTACGCCCAACTTTCAGAAATATTGACACTTTATTTACAAGTATACTCCAAGTCATATCGACCGGTGAGCTCAAAATATATTTTCACCATTAACTTGCGACGATTCATGTTTGGAAAAACTACTTAGCTTTAAACATCGAATTCAAGGCTCAGTGATTGCCGGCACATTCGTGAAATGAGCCATTGCGTGCCAGTTCACTGCGTTATGAGCTCGTAGATCTGAACTTCAACAACCCCTCGTGTGCTATATGTGTAAGTTCATGTATGTTTTATCATCACTTCTGTCCGTCTCTTACTCTCTTTCTTATATAAGTTACCAAGAATACTCTATACTCAATTATGGTTTTATGACAGTTTTGAATTTCCCATTCTTCCTCACTTAAAATGAAACTCAGATCACTCATCTCGAATATCCCCTATTCTTTCTTTATCAACCATACATACATATGTATATCGTAAAAACATGTCAGAATGTGTTCGCAAACATATATATGGCATTGCATGCGAATCTATGCATATTTAAGAAGAATCATAGATTTTGATTTCGTAATGTTCTTGTTGCTTCATTTTATTAAGTTCCATCATTGCTCAAAATTTTATAATTTCCCGATTGTACTTAATGCTATTAAAACCTTTATAAATATGCAGAAATTACTCGTTTATTAATGCCTTTTATTATTGTAATGCCAGGCGCTATCTTCTATGTCGGCTTCCAATCAGGCCATATCTGCACAACAACTTATGCCGTCGGTACGCGACAGCCTTACAGAACCAACACTTCTAGGGTGAGTTTCGATTTCTTAACGAATTTCTTGAAATTATGTTTCATATTCAAACTCTTAAAGGGTTTCGCAAGTCCGCTTGCCACTGCAGTCGCCCACACAGTCCGCGTACGCAAGCCAACGCAGCTCAATGTCGGCGCAGGGCAGCCACTCAAGGCAACCCAGCCCAATGAACTCACCAGCATTGAATCCATTTATTTATGGCACGGATGTCGACTCAGTTGACGTCGCTACGCGAGTTGCAATGGTATTTAATAGGAGCGCTGTCTTCGTTTCAGAAATCTTCCTTTAATCTAAATTATCTTCCCTTAAAGGTTCGGTTCTTTAATGCCCAAAATACTCTCGCCAATTTTGCCGAGCATACTCGCACATTGCGCCTCTATCCACGTCCCGTGGTCGCCTTTCAGATCAACAGTTTCCTACGCTCACGTCCACGTGCTTCACAGTTCCTCAATCAGTTCGCACGCACACAGGCCGTAGAGTTCCTCGCTGAATGGTCACTGACCCCAACTAATGTTGCCTTTTTGCGCGTACAAACAGGCGTGATGGATCCAGCTCAGGTTGGGGATAAGCCAAAATGGTTTGCTCACCAGCTTACCCCTATACGGTTCTCCGTATGGGATGATGGCAGCTCACTAAATGGTGCACTCCGTTCACTGAAACAACTCGAATGCCAGCCAACGGATGAAAGTGGTTCCGACTCCGAGGGTGCTGAAAGCTCAAGTTCCTCTTATTCCTCGCTGAGTGACTTTGTATCGGAAATGGTGTCTTCAGACCTGTCGCCGAGTATCCACGATGTTTTTGGTGCACACAATCGCCCACATAATGTGCCGCAAACGCTTTCATCAAATCTAGATCCAGCATTAGTTTATCATCCACCAAGTACTCTACAATACCCGGAAAGTATGTCGCACAAAGTAGAAGTTAACGAAGATGAAGAAGATCAACGTGCTGAATCGCCACTATCGTCGTCGTCGAGTCGTTCCGATCTGAGTTCCCCCAGTCGTGATTCGGAATTTGAATTCCCAGCAAAAACTGCAGGCCCCTTTGATTTAGCTGCACCAGCCGCAATACGCCTGGAGGCAACAATCAGAGCAGCAAGTGTTGATAAAGAAGCCACAGAGTCGGGAGAACCTAAAAAGTCGCCAGTGTTGGCACACAAACAACAACAGCAACAACACCAACACAGACATACCGGTGAAATGGAGCACGCAGGTGTTGAAAAGAAACGTCCAGTAAGTATTTTCATAGTTAAAGTTTAAAAAATATTTTGATTTAATGTTCTTATTTTAAATACTTTATAAAGCCCCCAATAACACCACCAGTCTCCAACATTCTCGCACGCACCGGCAGTTCTGGTTCAAGCTCAAGCAGTCCAGGGCGTCAAGGTTCACAGGGATCACTTTTTGAGAACTTCGCCTCGCACGCAAAGGAGCTGGTGCGTGAAACGACGCGTCAAAGCAGTCAGGAGGGACTACTGGCCCAAGTGGATAAGGTAAGCTTAACTCACTGATCTCTACTGCTATTACTTCCAAATATAATACTTATGGTACTTTTCATGTATGTATACATACGCACTAGGCTGTGTCATTTTTGAGCAACTTTTTTTTTCAACTAAAAAACAGGTGAAAAAAAGAGCCTCTAAAAATTTGAGCTCTTAATATTATCATTAAGTGGTGCCTGTTCCTAACTTTCCATTTCACATATAAATAACATGGGAAAAAATGTTTCGTTTTTCTTATTTTTGTAGCTTGACATATAAGCATTGTAAAAATGAACTGAAAAATTATTTTGGTAGGAAATTGAACGCTCTACAAAAAAGTTCAGATTAATTTTTTTACAGAGTGAGCCGTTCTGAAGATATTCAAACTTAAAGTTGCAAATGTATGAAATTATGATTTTTATTTTATCAAACTGATACTGATGACTTTTTTATGTCTTAAAAATTATTTTTAATCAGTAAACTGGTTTGTGTGCTCTTATATTTTTATAAAGCTAAAATAAAAAAAAAATACGTCTTAGATATTATTTTATTATTTGATTAACTCTTAAACAAAAGTAATTATGAACTAGGTTTAGTAAAATTATTATTTTATAGATAAAAAAAAAAGTTTTCAACAACTAGAATACATAAACAATACATAAATAAGACTTAAAAAAAGTCATCAGTATTAGTTTGATAAAATAAAAATCATAATTTCATACATTTGCAACTTTAAATTTGAATATCTTCAGAACGGCTCACTCTGTAAAAAAAAATTAATTTGAACTTTTTTGTAGAGCGTTCAATTTCCTACCAAAATAATTTTTCAGTTCATTTTTACAATGCTTATATGTCAAGCTACAAAAATAAGAAAAACGAAACATTTTTTTCCCATGTTATTTATATGTGAAATGGAAAGTTAGGAACAGGCACCACTTAATGCTAATATTAAGAGCTCAAATTTTTAGAGGCTCTTTTTTTCACCTTTTTGAAAGTTTTTAGCCTGTTTTTTAGTTGAAAAAAAAAAGTTGCTCAAAAATGGCACAGCCTAATACGCACATATGTTAAAACTGTGGACCGAAAAATTAGGTATGCATAAATAGTTTTGAGTTAAGAGCGTTCTGTTTAGATCGGAGAGAAGAAAAATTTCCTACAGGTATTAATCCAAATAGATATATAGAAGGATCAAATGATAAAAAGGGAGTATTACTTGAAGGGTTTCAGAATATACCACTGATTGTAGGCAGCACTACCCTGCAGGGAGTGACGTTAGCTTATACCTAACTTTAGTCTGTTTACGCGAACACTAGTGCTAACTATTAACTGTGTATTTTGTTCGAAAAAAGCTAACTACTTTTGTGGGGCGATGGCCGCAAAAAAGTCAGACCTGGATACCTCTGCATTATATGTCAACTAACTTGTGACTAACTACTTTTGGACATAAAATATCAATAAGAAAAACAAAATATTTTTTTGTTTTTTTACTTTTTTATTTACTTTATTTTATTACATTTCATATTTGTTTACATATTCTGCTCTGGGTGGCCCCATATTCGAACACCGTCAGACATAACTTCAAAATGATAGTATAAAATTTCGATCTTCCTTTTATTTGTCCTGAATATGAAAAAGAATCTGCGAAGTTCAGAAAAAAAGTGTATTGAAAGTAATTTTTGTATGAGGATATTTAATAGAAACTTGTAAAGAAAACCAACTCCCGATTGCGTCTGCATAACTCCTGCACGACTTTACAATTCACTTTAAGTTGGTTTCGTCATAGCTAATTAAAAGTGAGGTATTAATCGAAATCTCGCCAAAAAGCTAACTATAAGTTGGTTAGTTTTAACAATTGATAATTTTTCACTGCAGGGTAGTTATAGATAGATTTATGCGGTCATAGAAACCACCCTGCAGTGAAAAATTATCAATTGTTAAAACTAACCAACTTATAGTTAGCTTTTTGGCGAGATTTCGATTAATTAGATAATAATTAGATGTGTTCGCGTAAACAGACTAAAGTTAGGTATAAGCTAACGTCACTCCCTGCAGGGCAGGGACCGAGAACAAAAGGTATGATCGAAACTAAATGCTGGTCTCGTAGTTTTGTTCCCAAGAACGCTTAAAGACCCAAACCGAAATGAGAACAAAACCTTCGGTGTTTTCACAAGAACATAAGTGAGAACAAAACTATCGAGAACATTCTCAGCGGGAATTATATATGAACAAAACCCTGGGGAACGTTCCCAAAGCGAACAAAATGTCTAAGAAACTTTCTTTCCAAGAACAATTTGGGAACTAAAGCCTCAGGAACGTTCTGGCAGAGAACAAAACTATCGAGACTATTCTCAGTGGGAATTATATGTGAACAAAACCATGGGGAACGTTCCCAAAGCGAACAAAATGCCTAAGAAACTTTCTCCCCAAGAACAATATGTGAACTAAAGCCTCAGGAACGTTCTGGCGGACAACGAAACTGGAACAAATCTTCTCTGAACTATTTGCGAAGAGGAAGCGTTGAATAATATAATGCAAATTAAGTCGACGAAAGACTTAAGACACAAAATTTTCTTGCACAGAAAATGAAATATTTTTTCATAAATGGACAGTTCAAGCTAATGACAAATGATCTGGAAGTTAAGATGAGCCAGCTTTCCTCTAGCTTTGGATTAACAATCATAGCCCTCATTATACTTTTGATCTTATTTCTAATTCTGTTCTTCTTGAGAACGTTCTTGAGAGATTTTTCTGCTTGAGAATGTTCCCCAGAATTTTGTTCGCATTTCGTACTTTACGGAAACTTCCCAAACTTCCTTTTCTAATTTAGTTTTCGTTCAGTACTATTGTTCCATTTGGTCCTTTTGCGAGATCGTTCTTGACATTAAACGATGTTTCCACGACAAGTGACTCGCTCTCCCAATCGTAACTCGCTCTCTCATTCGTAATTGGCGCCCAATTTCGAATCGAATCACGTAATTCACCATACAAAATTTTGAGAGCGAATCACTTCATTCGTAGGTAATTCAGATCCAATCATCATGCGAATCACGAACAAATCGTTGTCTTCTCTAATTTTTATAGGAAATGTATCGATAACGGCTGTCAAAACACATATACCACACACATTCCCACCAGCACAATATTAAAAAAAAGCTAGATTCGTTAAAACTATTGGTTTAGCTATTTGTTCTCCACCGTTGAAATGCACAGCAAACAACACAGTAAACAATAAACGAAAGCAAAGAACAAGAAACAGAGGCCAAGTGAATTACGAATGTGTCGTGTAAACAGCGATCCAGACCGTTAACCGGTCATAGCAGACCTT